TCATGGCGACTTGGACCTCTGGAGCATCCTCCCCATCAGCCCGACTGGGCTCCCGCATTATCAGCAGGGCTGTTGTCCAAACCAGCTTTCTCAGGTTCGCCCGGACCTGGAGTTGGGAGAAATTAATTTCTGATGGGGTTGCAAAGCTTTTTCAGTAGGGACGTTTGTATGATTTGGTGATAGGGATTTTTTTTTTTATGCCCAGCGGGTGCCTTGATACGATGTCCACCTTCCCACTTCCCAGCAGGGAACGAGCGAGGTGGCTTTAGAGCTAAAAACCCAAGAGCGTTTTTACACATGTAAGTGCCGCAGCACCGGGCACTTTGCAAAGCAACTGCTATGCTTGCAGTTGTATAAGTGGTGAAATGCACACCAGTGCTGAGAAAATGGTGGCGGTGTGCTTTTGAATTAAAACGCATCGAAGGCGTTTCGGTTCAAAAGCGCACCACTGCCATTTGCTGCATGCAGACGTGCATTTCTGTGCTTATGCAACTGCATGCGGCGCAGCACCGTTCACATCAGCTCGCATGCAGAGCGGGCTCGATTAACCGAGTCCGTTCCGAAGCGGCGGATCGCCGGCATGTCGGGGCACAAAATGTATGTGTACAAACGCCCCTTGTGCCGGCAGTGTGGACTAAAACGCCACGTTCTCCACGGGGAAGCTGGAGTGGGCCGATCCTCTGCGGTCTGGGCATGGAGGGGGAACCTCTAAGATGCACTGGCCAAGGAGTTACGCTGTGCATTGTACCATCCGGGTAGAAAGTGAGGCCAGTGCCTAAGCAAATTATATCACAGCGGAGTCAGGTTGCCCTTCTGTGGCACGTTGTCATTCAAAATGAGTTGCCTTGAAATGAAATGGAAATTCAGCCTTCGAAAAAATCAGAGGTTAGCCTCTCACCCTCGGTAGGTCTTTGCATCTCTCTGCTTCCATTTGTCCATCAATAAAAGAGGGAGAGTGCTTTTTTCTCACCTGCATAAAGCACTTGGAGGACGTAGAAATGTAAGATTAGAAGCCGGGAGCCCCGTGTTAGGGAAACATTTTCCTTTCCTTTAAAGGGGAAGATGCAGACTGCTTGTTTTAACCAAGACCTGGGAGACGTGCTGCATCCAGCCCTCTCTAACAGCGCCAAATGACAGAAGGAGCCCCGGCGTGAGCCAGAGGGTTAACATGGGGATCATTATTGTGCGCTGCTACCAAATTCAAACCTACTTGAGTTTCATTTGTGTGGGCCTCTTCTTTTCTTTTTCCCCCTCTCTCTGAAATACAGCAAGATCAACTTGCTTACTACAGGGTTTATTCCCGGTACCTTCACTGTGTCCCTTATTTCTCCTTGATGAAGACTTAAACAAGCCGCTTGTGTTTGATTCATGGAGAACCGTGAGAAACGAGCTGTTTATGTGAAGCAGTGCGATTTTTTTTTTTTTTTTTTTTTTTTCATTCTATTCAGCCCTTTGTATATTCAAATTCTTCTAGTTTCAGTTCTTGCTGTTCTGCCAGATTTCCGTAGCATTGATGGGTTTTCTGAATTAATAAGTTTCTTTCCCTGCTCCTTAGGCTCCCCACCTCTGCAAGTGGTGAAAAGTTTTTTGTAACTGCACAGCCTTCTCCGTATTGATTTTTTTTTTTTCCCTCCGCTCTCCCCCATCTCAGCAGTTCTTAGATGTTTTATTTTGTAAAGCGTTAATAGAATTTTTCTTTCTCCATTGCACTTTATCTATTCAGGAGGTATCAAGAAGTCCCATTGTGTCACTGGACTATGGAGGAAAGAGGCTATTCTTCTGTTACAATGGCTGCCCTAAAAAGTAGCTCAGGGTGGGGTAAACTCAGAAAGGGCAGCGACGGAGATAAAATGTTCTGACCTTAGAAAAAAGAAAAGATAACCAATTAGGCATTGTTGAAAGGGCACCCACTGGCTTAAGAACACCCTACTGATTTAAAAAAAAAATTTTTTTTAGGGTATATTTTATCCGGAGGTTGGTCAAAATCCGGTCCAAAGAGCTGGTTTATCCCCTCGCGGTATTTCAGATCTAAATCTTGCCTTTATGATTTTGCTTCTGGGCTTAATCCAAACCTGAGATGCCTGCTTCCCGAGGGATAAAGCACAAATCTTTCAAGGATGGCTGCACTCTTGTGGCTTCCACCCAACGGGACCAAAGTCCCCCCAGGTCAGCCCACCAACCGTGCGCTCAGTCTTGTTATTGATTCCTGGTTCAATAAAGAAGCCCGGCTGCATTCGCAGCTCCGCGGTACTAGATCCTTTTGAAACGCGTGCAAAGCCCCTGCCCTGGGAAGCTTGCAGTGCAAGGGGGAGAGAGAAGGTGCATCGTTATCCTCCTCTGACACCTGGGCTGCTGAAGCCCAGAGAGATGCGGATGCGGCTTGCTCCCAGCCACATGCAGCAGGGTGATGGCAGAGCGCCCACATCTCCTGCAGCCCCGTGCAACGCCAAGGCCTATCCTCCTCTCTCGTGCGGGCTTTGGAGGAGCAGTGCAAGGGTTTTTCCCCCTTTGCCGTTCACCTCTAAGAAAAGGGCTGTGTTCCCATGGCCTGCAGCAAAGTGCTGAGGAGCAAAGATGAAGGTGCTTGGGGGCTTCGTGGTGCAAACATGAGTCAGCTCAGTGCTGCTTTCTAGGATAGGGCCAGGGGCAGAAGGATCCATGTCACTATGTGCATTGAATTCCTGTTAGGCACTGAGTCATTCCCTTTGCTCACGAGTCCCGTGAAGCAATGGCCTTTGGGCACCTGCTCCTTCAGCTCTCGTCTCTTAGTTGCCGAAGCAGCCTGCTACAATAAACTGGGCTTACGTACCCGTGAGCCCTGGTTAGGTCCCTGTGGATCTAAAATCTTCTGCTAAAAGAGTGGTGGGTTAGCTCCTAGAGGTGAGACCCTCCGTGTGCATGGGTCTCGCCTCTAAAGAAAGATCAAGAGCCGCACTCTGCTTGCGTGGTTGCACATGCACCCTGCGGTGAGGGAAGCTCTTCCCTTACAGCAGAGGTGAACGGCAATTCAGAGCCTTGCACAAACCATCCTGTGGTGATGACTAACTGGGTCGGGGATTGAAGGCTGAGCTCGATCTGTCCCACTGCGCACATGCTAGCAGTGTTGTCTGTGAGTCAGGAGACAACAGTGCTATGACCGGGCCTCCTCAAAGGATGCAGGTGAGCCCCAGGGCCCATTACGTGCGGCAATGGGGAGTTTGGGCAACGATTTGTGCAGTGTGAGAGATGTGTTTTAAACCCGTGCGATAGACCACTGTGGGGATTCAAGGGGGCTCAGTGCACAGCTCGGCTCCTGTGATGCTCGGCTTAGGGTGGAGAGAAGTGGGGAAAAACCATGCAGTTTTTGGAAGTGGCTCTTGCTGCCTGAACCTAGAGCTTAATCAGGCTGAAGCCTTTAAGAAGTTTAAAAATTGGCTGAGCAAACCCGAATCCTGGGACACAGATGAGTGTCGAGGGCTCTGGTCCTTGCTTACCCTCTGGCCATGCTGAAATCTGGGGGGGGGTGTTTCAAAGGGGGAGGAGGATGGGAGCAGGCCGAGATGACCCTAGCCATAATTCAGTTTGGAGTTGATGGCGTTGGCAAATCTCACCCAAGACGGGGGCAAAGACATAAGCAGAACGAAGGAAGCTCTTCCAGGTTGGGTGGTTTTTAATACCGCTCTGCCGACCTAAGTGGCTTGGACGATGCTGTGCTAGAAACCAGGTAAATCGGAGCCGGATCTGAAACGAGAGTTTAAGGTTTAACCGTGCTGTCATTTCTACTGAGTCTTGGACCCTCCTTTTTATACTGTAGTTGAAACGTCTCCACCCTGTGTTTTTAAGCCCGTTCCAAAAACGATGCTGCTGCCAAGCAAAGACAAAGGCTACTTAAAACAGACAAGAGTGACCTGTACAAAGGGTCTAATTGGGTCCCCGCCATAGTAATCTCTGCAGGGTGGATGCAGAGTATCACTTGACGTGCTAAGCATACAAGAGCGACCGATGCAGAGTCAGCTTTCCTCAAGCGAGTAGGTAAATGATACTTATTTGGCTTTGCACCATAGTATTTAAAAGGGAGGATGCCAGCGGTTGAAAGTTTTGTAGCAAACTACCACCCCGAACCGATGAGGAGAGCTGTTCTCTTGAGACCTTTTGCACCGTCGTCTAATTCCCTGCTAACCAGTAACGAAGCCAAGCTTTAGGGAGGTTAAATTCGACAGGCATTTTTCCATCAGGGTGCAGCATCGTCTCGCTGAAGCTGCCGGAGGCTCTGAACAGCAGCTTAAAATCCAGGATGCTGAGGAAGACCTCTCAGCAGAGCATCACATCAAAATAGGTGCAAGATGTAGGTGTGGCTGCACAGGCTCCACGTAGGTGGAATAAATCATGCAAATAGTAATGAAACTTGAAAGCAATTTTGCTGCACTTTAGTACATGCCAGGAGTCGGCTCTCTCTTCTGAAGTGGAAATGCCAAACCTGATGCGAATGAAACCTTTCCTCACCCAGCCCCGCTTTGCTCCAGTTGCTTTTCAAAAGGCCTCTTGAATACCTCTCTGCCCCACATGTCCTTTTTAAAACCCCCTCGTCCCAACACAGTGACCCCCTTTGGAGGAGCCCTGGGTGTGATTGGCCTTGGCGACTCCCATCTGTGCTGGATGAAGAGGGGGCCCCTGCTCCGCTTTCTCCAGCTGCTAGAAGAAGAGGAGGAGGGGGTGGAGAAAAAATAAAATCTGCTTAGATGCCTGTGCTTTTTAGGGCAACAAGACTTTTTAACATGCACTTTTCTCTCCTCTGGATCAAATGCCAGCCAGGTTTTGTGTTGAAAGCAGCAGGTTTCCAAAAGAAAAAGCTGACTGTAAGCAAAGGAAATGAGATCTGACGAGTCCATGTGGTTTTCTGTACCTGAGCTTCGGCGGCTGCTGCTTTAGCCTCAGCTCCCCAGATCTCAATTTGCTTGCGTGTCCTCATTAACCTTGTGGCAGATGTGCTGAAACACACATTTCCCCTTTCTGTCTTGCAGGTAGAGGACGCCATGCTTATGTTTGACAAGACTACCAACAGGCATAGAGGTAAGAGAGCATCGGCGCTCAGGGGTCGCGCTTTATCGCTGGCCGGTGCCAACTCCGGAGCACCAAGGGTCTGGTGGACCCAGTGGTCCGCATGCCGACTGCTGGGACTTGGGCCAGTTCGTTGTGTCCTGCAGTTGCCATAATAGCAGCGGTGCTCAGGCTCTGGTCCTTGCGTGCGTCTGCGAGTAGCTTGGATGTCTCATCAGTGAGGACTCTTACGGCCAGTTGGATAGCGTCTTGTCCGGGTGGCCCAAAGGGAGTCCTGTGCAGCTTGACTTGGGTAAAGAGGATTGCAGGGGTACGTAATGTCCGTGGAGATTGGTGGGTGAAAAACTGATGTCAGGCATCCGATCCTGGGTTTGGGAGAGAAAGGAAATAAATAATAGTTAGTGGTAGAAGAAAAGGTCAGGTGCTCTCACACATCTCCCTGCTCCTGGGTGTTACTACGGTCCTGCCTTCAGTACCAAGGGAGGGGCACGCACCCATACCTCTCCCTGCTACCTCGTGGCACGTTGTGAGGTCCCACGGTAGATACCTGCATGTAACTTTGAAGCCTTTTTGCATGTGCAAGGACCTTGATTCTCTTCCTCTGGTGGAGCTTGGACTCAGCTGGGTGCCGTAGTCCATCTAAATTTGTGTGCACGCACATGCAAGACCCATGCTAATCGCCAGAAGTCCACTTGGATGTGCAAGTTTTCCGAGGCAGACACTGAAGATTGTGCCTAAGAATATGGCCCTCTGACTCTTTTGATTCCCCTTTTTTCCCCCCGTCTCTTCCTGTGATCTGAGTTTTCTTATTTTGTGAAAGAGTCTGGTGTTTGTAGAACAAAACTTCAGCTGGGAGAGAGAGAGTGCGAGCGAGTGCCGTGGTATGGGGGCAAGGCAAGAAGCAGGAATCCTGGGAATGCTGCCGTATGACTTCCCGAGCCAAACTTCTCCTAAGCAAGCAAGAAGGATGCATGCCACCGGGCTTAAGAAGCCAGTTGGTTTAATTATCCTCCGGGAAGGAGTTGAATGAACGCACCCCAATTATAAGGGACGTAGGTCTCAGTGCTAGATTTGGTCCAGTTCCACTGTCCGCCCCCATCCCCTCCGGGAACGGCGTGTTCTGCTTCTTACCGGATCAGTGTAAGCGATGACAACTCAGAAAGACAGATGGGGAAGAAGCAGAAGAGTCACAGGGAGGGACAGGTGGTGGTGATGTGCTATTCTGATTTGTTATGTTGGAATTACGAGTCCCACTCGTGGAGCGGGCCTGCTGGGTGCTAGGTGCTGTCCCTGCACAGACCAAAAAGAGGGTGCCCAGACCTGCCTGCATAAGGCATGAGCAGGGGAAGGAGCCAGGGTTTTTGACCGCTCTGCTTTTTTTTTTTTTTTTTTTTTACTGCTGTGCTGCTCACCGTAACATCGAAGGCGCTGTTGTTGGTTTGAAGCTCTGGGCTCTGATGCTTTGTTTTTATGGAGCCTGTTTTTCTGAAAGATTAATTAATGCCCCGGGGGCTGACGACAGGAACGTTTTATTGATGCGTTTCCCTGCCCATGACTTCACAGGAGCACGAGCGGCGCCTGCCCCTCCGGTCACGTCTGCATCCTTGAGTTTCAGGTGTCAACTTCCAGCAAGGATCACTGAACACAAGCAATACAATTTAGTGCCAGCCTCGTGCCCGGGTGAAGGGGAGGAGGAGTATGGTGGGATTAGAAACGCCGCTGTGGCCTCCGTGTTTCCCCTGGTGACAAACGGGGCTGCTTGACCATTGTCACTGATTTCTCGGTGTCGCAGCAGCGTGACCGTGCTGCTCCAACACGTGTTGAGGAAGTGCGTACGGCTGGACCACGCCAGGCAGGCGTGGACGGGGAGCGTGTCCCAGCCGGGCCTGAATTTTGAGCAGGGAGGCTAAAATGTTGATGCTTCTTGCATTTTGCATGCTCTTAATCCCCCCGCGCCCACTTTGAAAGTTTGGGCCAAATCGTGGCCAGGGTGAGCTGCTTACAGCCCAGTTGGTTTCCTTATCTCCTTGTACAGTTGCAGAAACTGCGGGCAGTTAGGCCAGCATTTCGCTATCTGACCGCGAGCATCTTGACTAAACAACCATTTATCTTGGGTGCTATACATCCGCTTCCTTCCAGCCCTGCGTGCCGTACAGATTGCCTTGAATATATGCTAAATGTAATCCTATAAAGCCTGGGCACCTGAGAATTACAAGCCAAGCTTCTTATTTCATTCATTTTTCTGTCAGCTGCAGAAATGATCCAATGGGGCAAATGAATCAACTGTATTAAAAAAAAAAAATGTATATTTTAAATAATCCGCTGACTGCGAAGCTCCCGGATCACGTTAACATAACAACGTGCCGATTATGAATGGTGATACAAATGGTTGACAGCAACCTCCTGGCTAAAACGTTAGGAGCTGTTGGCCTGTGTCGTGGGAAAACGGTTTCCTGTGAATTTGGAATAAGGCCTCATACTGGCACATGCTTTTGGCGGTGGTATAATTTGGTAATCCTTGGGAGTTATACCTGTGAACCTACAGGCATAAGCTGGAAGTCAGGAAACGCCTGAATTTTGATCCGACTTGGGGCAGGACACAATCCTTCTGTCTTTAAAATGGGGATAACTGTATGTCTAAAGCTATCATCACTACAAGGCTTCTCCCAGGGGTTTCAAGCACTGTGGCGTTTTTGAAAACTGGGACTGAGAGACTCTCAAGAAGATTTTCTGAGCAAGCAGGGTCTCAAGGTAAATAATTTGCCCCTCCCTATGTCACAGGAGGCATTTCTGTCCGTCAAGGAGGTGGTCCACCCTCGTCATTAAAAAGTCACCCAGCTTTGAACCAGGTGCCAGTCTACCTGTAGCAGCATGGTATCCAGCAGGGGCTAATTTAACCTCCGGAGGTGAATGAAGTGACTGCGGTGTAAATATACCCTTAGCGGGTCTCTCTCTTGGCGTGGCAGGGACGTCACCCTGCAAAGGCCTCTCTTGTTTTACCGTCGGCTATAGTGCCATGGGATAGGTCTGATGGGGGTGGTCCGCGCTTCCCGTGCCCACGTGGAAACGGAGCTTACCAGGCTGACGTCATTTGCCCTTCAGGCTCCAGCCACTTAAACAGTTTGAATGTCGGCTCTTTGTGGGGACTCGCTTGACTGATACCGTCATTGTCTCGGCCACAAAAGTGTCAGCTTCTCGGAATAATGTATATCGTGCGTTTGCTTAGGGAGGCTGCCAAAAAGTTTAAAGGAGTCTGAGACAAGTCAAGAAGTGTTACGAGTTTTGGAAAGAGGCCCCGGGACCGTGGCCAAGCCCCACTTGCTAGAATACCAGCGCCGCTGGCTGCAGCATTGTCCATCTCCATGGCGGGATCAGGGGACTTGAACTCCCGACGCTGCCCTTTTCAATGACGCTTTGTGCGAGGAGCTTGCTTTAACAAGCCGCCTAGTGACCAGTGGTTGTGGGATGGGGGGAATAAAACTTCCAGAGTCTCTTTTGCCTTCCTCGCTCATCCCCACCACTGACTCTCCTCTAAAAAGCCTTCGGGTTAGGGCGGCAGTAACCAGAGTAATGCAGCTTTCATGAGTACAAGATAAATGGGAAGGACTGTGATTTGCAAAGGCAATAGAGCTCCACCTCCAGTTTCCATTGATTTCTAAGGGGAACCAAGAGTTCAAACCTTTCACGCAGCCCAAAAGGTTTCCTTTTGTATCGGGGGAATTTCCACCGCTCCCCTTCTAGCCGTTCTGAAAAGGGACATAAACTATACCCTTCCTCTGGTCAAGGGCTCGACAGGTTATTTGTTGCTTCTAAGAGCAGCATTGCATGGGGCTTTTGCGTTTGGCACAGCAAGCTTAAATCTCCTCTCCGACCTCGTTCTGGTACGTGCCAGAGGTAGAGGAGAGCCAAGGGGCTGAGTCCTGACCGCGGCAGAGATTTAACTAGCGTGAACGTGCTGCAGCGATCCTTCCACCCACCCGTTACGCTCTTTGTTTTCTCCCCTGAAACTGTCCAGACTCGGAAGCAGCTTATGCAGCACCCAGCCGGAGGCCCAGGGAGCCGAATCCCCAAATTCGAGTGGGTTTGGTTCTTTTTTTCTTTTCTGAGGCCTGTGTAATATCAGTTTGCAGGTTCCTGAGCTGGGGTTTTTCCTGTCCGCCCCATACGGACGTTCAGCAGTCTTGGAAGGCACTTCCTCGGATTCACAGGGCGGTACCCTCAAAGGCACGGCAAACCCAGCATCATGCAATGCAGCCAGGCTGCACAGCTCTTGCAGCTGCAAAGTACTGGCTCCGATCTGTAGGACAGTGTTACCCTCTAGTGCCGGCCTCACAGGGGGGATAAAAGCTCTACTCCAGGCAATCAGGACTTGCCCTACAGGCAATATCTTTTATTAGACCCACTAGAGTTTTGCAAAAAAAAATCTTTTGCAAAAATCTAGTGGGTCTAATAAAAGAGATCACCTCTACCACGAGTCCTGATTGCTTTTTCCTCTAGACCAATATGGCTACAACCTGCTCCAGGCAGCCACTCTTGTTCACTTGAGTGGCTGAGACTTGTGCATCTGAAACCAAAAGTCCAGGTTTCTGTTCCCCATGAGAAGCAGGAGCCTGATGCCACGAATCCCAAAGATACCTGCCTTTGTTCCTGCCTGCTGATTGCATGGGCAACCTGTTTCCAGGATGAAACCTGGTGTCTGCTGCCCTCCACAGCTCCACTGTCAAGGCGCAGGGGAAGCGATGGAGTGGTGTTGGAAGTCAAACCACGGTGCGCGAGTCCTTCCTCCTTTCCTGCCACCGAGATGCTCGTTGTCCCCTTCCGTACAGATTTCAAGGTGACCCTTGGTGCATCTCCTGTGTGTGGCACTGTGCTGCTGTAAGCACTTTCCAAGCCATGAGGGCGCGGGGACACGTTTCTGGCTGTTCGGCGCTAATGCTGAGCTGTGCTTTAGCTGCTTCAATTCAGTTCTTTTAAATACTCTTTTTGGGGGGGGGAAATGGACTATTGTGTTT